TGAGATAAGGTCTCTCTGTTTGTAGCCCTGGCTTTCCTAGAGCTCACTATGTAGACTCATAGATCCTCAGGCCTCTGCCTCCCCAAGTGCTGGGATTAAAGGTGTGCACCACCCCCCCTTGGCGTCCCCCCCTTTAGATGTTTCGTTAAAAAAAACAAACAAAAAAACCCAAATGAATGTAAGCACAGGCCTATTTCAAAAACAAAAGCAAATAAAATAAACTAGTGCCATGTGTTTTTTCTAGAATAAAATTTTATAATCATTTTATAGCGATAAGTTCCTAAATTACGAAGGTATTCCAATTAATTTCATTGTTTATTTTCTATTAACCCATTCAATTGATTTTCAATTAATTTAAACATCTGCTGTCACTACATACAGAGTAAGTTTAACAGTAAAAGAATTCTGTTTTGTTTTGTTTTACATGAGGAGCCCTTGAATTAGTAAAATATATACTTTTCATGATATACTTTTCTCAGGGAGAGAAAAGGGGGACACATCTGCATAATAGTTTGACTGGCATGGCTCTTAGAAAGACTTAAAGAACACCTGAGACACATTTACCACTACCTGAGAGATTACAGTCCATTTATCAGAAATATTCATGGCTAGAAATGTTTTATTTAGGTTTGCAGCACTCTGAATCTGAATTTAAGTGTTTTCTTACCTTTAGGTCTTTCCAACTGTCTAGCAGCTTGGTGGCCAAATCACTTATATCCACTGTTTTATCTGGCGGTTCTTGGCTTCTCTCACTTTCAACATCAGACACGCCCTCTTCTTCATCTTGGGACGGTGTCTCCTCAGCAATGGCTTCTTCCAGTTTTGTGCCACTGCTTTCTTTGAGCTCTGTCTCTGTGTCGGCCTCTGGTTCAGATGGGGGTAATTTACTGACTTCGAGGGTGGTTTCGCTCTCAACTTTGGGCTCACCCAGCTGCTGTGGCAGGAGTTGTTGTGACTGCAAGTCGTCATCTTCTTCCACAGTGACCGCTTCTAACTGATCCAGGTCCTCCTTGCCATCCTTGCATTCTAGCTCACTGGTTACATCTGAGATTGCACTGTCCATGCTATTTTCACTGATAATTTTAAGTCTGCGAAACATGAGTTTCTTGGGAGTCTCTGTATCCACTTCTGTGCTCAGCTTGATGGAAGGATCAGGTGTATTAAGTGGTGTGTGAGCACGTGATGTATTCTCACTAGAATATCCATCGCCTTCACTTAACTGAGGGACAGCAGTCTTGGTCTGAGACCAACGTTGAATAATTGGAAGTACTTTGCTTTCTTCCAACATATTTTTAGTAGGAATGGGCAAATGCTCCAAAGTCTTTATAATCTGATTAAACATAATAAAAAATTAATCATATCATTTGTACAGCTAACCTTTCACACAGGTAAGGACTCACAGAAGAAATACCACATTTGGGGCATTTATGAAGACCTATGTCTTCATAAATATAGATGCAGTTGAAAGTTATAACATTATTTCCTTTTAAGAAGGAAGAAAAACTTTTAGTTAGTCTGATCTACAATAAAAAAAGTACAGAGTACTGATGTAACGACTATTCACACCACTAAGTGTGACCGAGAAATACTCTCTCTGCAAGGAAGGAATTCCCAAAACCATGCAGCTTAAAGGAAACTACTAGACCTCACCAGTCTTTTTCTATAAAATTCCCCGTTACTACAATAGAAGCTTGGGAACTATGCAACACCATGTATTTAAATGATAAACACTTAAAAGATTCAACTATAGTCAGGTGTTGGTAGCACACATCTTTAATCCCAGCATTTGGGAGGCAGAGGCGGGTGGATCTCTGTGAGTTCAAGGCCAGCCTGGTCTACCTACAGAGCGAGTTCTAGGGTAGCCTGGCCTTTTTATTTGGTTTTTATTTATTTTATTATTATTAAATAACTGACTTTGGGGTTATAGTAGAAACTATGATTTTTAAAAAGCTACCTATCACCAGGCAGTGGTGGTACAGCCTTTAATCCTTTAATCCTAGCACTTGGGAGGTAGACCCAGGTGGATCTCTGTGAGTTGGAGATCAGCCTGGTCTACAGAGCAAACAAACTACATGGAGAAATCCTCTCTCGAAACAAAACAAAACAAAACAAAAGATACCTCTCAGGGGCTGGAGAGATGGCTCAGCAGTTTAGAGCACTGGCTGTTCTCCCAGAGGTCCTGAGTTCAATTCCCAGCAACCACATGGTGGCTCACAACCATCTACAGTGGAATCTGACGCCCTCTTCTGGCACAAAGTTATACAGGCAGATAGAGTACTCACATACATGAAATAAATAAATCTTAAAACAAAACAAAAACCTATTAAAAGTCAGAAAATACTAATTTTATGCAAACTATAAACACTCCAAATCTACTAATAATACTGCCAATTAATCTTTAGACCTTTGAAAACACTTCTTTGCTTTTCAGGATGTTCTAATTCTTGTCAATACTTTTTTTTTTTTTTTTACTTCATTTTATGTATGAGTGCTCTGTATGTACACTTACATGCCAGAAGAGGGCATCAGATCTATTATGGATGGTTGCCATCTCTTAGGCTTCTTATCAATAATTTTTAAGAACTCCAAAATTCAAGTTTTCTGGGTTTTCCCAGAGTTTAAAAGTAATGGTCTAGCAATTTACAATAAACTAAATTACTATCATTATATATCTTGCTTACAGTTCCTGGTATATAGAGCTGACTTGAAGATACTATGGGGAAAACCAAAGGCAAACTTACTGCCAAATCAAGCTGTGTGTAAGGTTATATATAGCTACTGATGGCATAGTATTAAATTCATAATCACCCATGTCATATCCCCTCCAACTAAGCAATCACCAGCAGAAGCAGGATTGTGAACTGACCTCTTCCTGAAGCTTCTGGTTACTTTCCCGGCCATCACCAAGCTCTGCCATCCAGATCCACAGCAATGACAACCCATGGCGTTCCAGAAATGACTTGAGGCAGGACTGCGAGTGTGTGTTCTTTTATGAGCGGAAAAAGGCATGATGTAGGGAGTTAGGGAGGCAATGCCAGTCAAATGTTACAGAAGCCCATGATGAGAATTAAGAGTTTGCTTAAAATTAATACACACATACATACATCCCTACAATTAGACATCGAACAAATACCATGAAGAATTTTGTTCTTTAATGTATTTTTCTCAAACACATTCCAAATTATCTGCTCTTACCCCCTCCCTATACTCACTGATCCACTTCTTTCCAATGAGTACCTTTTCTATTTTAAATAAATTTTTTATTATCCGTTTCTTATGGAATACTTAGTCAATTGGAATATACAGGATTGCTAAAATTCTTTGTTTTGAGATTCTATAGTAAAATAGTTTTGGTGCCGGGTGGTAGTGGCACACACCTTTAATCCCAGTACTTGGGAGGCAGAGGCAGGTGGATCTCTATGAGTTCAAAGCCAGCCTGGGCGACACACAGTGAGTTCCAGGAAAGACTCCAAAGCTATGCAGAGAAACCCTGTCTCAAAAATAGTTTTGGTATACCAGTAACTGGTAGGGAAGGGAGCTATACCAAGT